TGCACTCCAGAAATAGTTTACTGAAATAGATTTACCCTGGGGTATCACCAGTTCTACTAAAGAGTTACTTTTTAACTAGCAATGGGAGACTTAAGGAAAAAATAAAATAAAAGAAGAAGAATCCTTTTCTTGAATTGTAGGTATCTCCAGCAAGTCAGAGAAGATGACTTTGAATTTGTGTCTTTTCAAGCATTTGGACTCTCTGTCACATAGATAGTCACTAGGCTTGGATTCAGGAAAACTATTTTTTAATCCTGGATGATCTAAATGTCACTTATAGCTCTGAGATACTGAATTTTATTCTAAGCAATCTACACAGAAGACTGAGTCATTAGAATTAAGAATTGGGACTTGACTTTTTCAGGATTTCTCTTCAAAACTAGAAATACATGAAGTATACCTTTCTATATTTCTGTTATGTTGGGTTCCTGGAAAAATCTAGTACTCCTCTAGAGAAAACAGTCTGAACTGACACCTGGTTGTTTTTCTGAGGATAGTTATATTCTCACTTTTTCCAGTTTTGGGGTGTGTGTGTGTGTGTGTTGGGGAATAGTGGGTAAAAAACTCATAGTGCCACAGATCCTGTTGTCCTTGAACACTTTTTCCTTCTCTTCAAATTCCCCAGTAATCTTTAGGATTGTACATTCAAGAACTATGACATTATATGTGTAAAGAGGGAAAAAAGGTGGTTTTTCAAGGCCTTTAAATTGGTCACAGATTTATTCAGCTTCACTCCTTTTTCTGTGGTACATAGAGCTTATCAGAATACTCTGTATTTCAGACATTGCAAGCTGAATAATAAACAGACTGGCCTGACCATGCTCCCTGTGTCTTTAACCCTCTCTTCCACATTAAAGGAGAGGCATTCAGAATTTTTTACTTGTTTGCACTCTCTTGTCCCCTTTCATCCACTCAACCTAAATCCTGGATTTGTTCAAGTGAGAATCCTTGCCACTTCCTCCTGTTAATTGTTTAACTGATGCCTCTCATCCCCTTGACCAAACACTAGAGTATGAAACATTTGGTCCTGCAGGGTAAGAGTTCAATGAACCATTGTTTCTTGAGCATCTATAAATTATACGACAACGTCCAGGGCTCTTACATAATCTAATTTAATCCTTTTTTTCTATAAAGAATGAAATATCTTTTAATTTTTTATTTTTAAATTATTTTTACAAATCCATTATTTTTTAAATTGAAGTATAGTTCACATACAATATTATATTATTCCAGGTGTACAACACAGTGATTTGACATTTATATACACTACAGAATGCTCACCGTGTTAAGTGTGGTCACCATCTGTCACCATACAGAGTTATTACTGTATTATTGACTCTATTCCCTATGCTGTACTTTACATCCCTGAGACATTTATTTTATAACTGGAAGCTTGTAACTTTTAATCTCCTTCACCTACTTAGCTCATCTCTTCAACCTTTCTCCCCTCTGACAGCCACCAGGTTGTTCTCTGTATTTATGGACTTATTTTTGTTTTGTTTCATTTGTTCGTTAATTTTACTTTTAGGTTCCACATATAGGTAAAATCATGCCATATTTTTTTTCTATATGACCTATTTCGCCCTACATAATACCCTCTAGGTCCATTCATTTTGTCACAAATGGCAAGATCTCATTCTTTTTATGGCTGAGTAATATTCTATTATATAGCTAAATAGATAGGTAGAGTTATCTATACATACATCACATCTTTATCCATTCACATTTCAGTGGACACGTCCGTTGTTTCTGTATCATTTCCATATTATTTCATGCTAGTCTTCATAGCACCTTTTCTAGAATAAGTATAATATCTGATCTACAGATTAAGGAAATGAGACTCCAGAGACTTTACATAATATCCGAAGTCAATTATTTTATGCCAGATCAATTAATTTGTGTAAGTTAGAACCTAAACGTCTAAACCTGGATGTTTTGGTTAACTCCAGAATTCATGTTCCTTCTTTGTTCATCTGTGGTTTTTGAGCTAACTTCCTAAACTAGTTAAAGCTGCTCATAATAGTGACCTAATAAAATGGTAAAAAAATAAAGACCCACAAAAACGAAACAGAGAAGGGATGTTTAGGATTTGGAAGAAGGAGGGCAGCCCCAGTGGCTCAGCGGTTTGGTGCTGCCTTCAGCCCAGGGTGGGATCCTGGAGACCTAGGATCGAGTCCCATGTCGGGCTCCCTGCATGGAGCCTGCTTCTCCCTCTACCTGTGTCTCTGCCTCTTTCTCTCTCTCTATGTCTCTCATGAATGAATAAATAAAATCTTAAAAAAATTATTAAAAATGATTTGGAAGAAGGAATGTATTATAATAAAGAGTCTGGGAAAATGCAAAACTTTCAAACATATTTTTATTTTCCTAATGATGGACATCAGTGGTTCAAGCAGTGCTTCCATTAGCTCTTGATTGCATTTGACTGATTTTGGGGAATGAGAGAGAAAGAGGTCCCTTTACGTTATAGAAGACCAACCTGTCTCTGGTGTCTGAATACCCTGGCATCTTAGGTACTTTGTTGTGGGCAAAGAGAAGAAGTACCTGGCAAAGCAACTCTTGGCTGCCATATACCGTGCTTTTCCATACTTCTCTAAGACCATTTGGATTTACAAATGTTCCTCAGTATATCCAAAGTGCTGACTCTTAATGCAAGACTTCCATGCAGGGATAGAGTGGATTCGATGATAGTTGGGGAGACTGCCTTTGCTATAGCCCTTGCCCCAACTATACATTGGTCATCTACATTCCTCTTACCACTTCACCCATTTTTTTTAAAAAATGATTTATTCATTCACGAGAGACACAGAAAGAGAGGCAGAGACACAGGCAGAGAGGGAGGAGAAGCAGGCTCCATGCAAGGAGCCTGATGTGGGACTTGATCTCAGGAATACAGGATCATGCCCTGAGCCAAAGGCAGACGCTCAACCGCTGAACCACTCAGGTGTCCCATGTCTCGATTCTGTAACTTACTGCACACTACTGTCTTATTTCTGGGAAGTTGCCATAGAATGAAAGAAAGAAAGTCTTGGACTAGGAGCCAAGAGACCTTTCAACTCATCATTTACTAGTATGGATTTATGTACATTTGTTTTTAGGACCTTATGTTTACACCTATGTAAAACAGACAATAATTTCTGTTCATCTCTGCCCTGCCACACTATGTTCTCCTCCATAGGGATGTGGCAATCACTCAGAAAATGGATAAAGGAGAACTTAGTAATCTGAAGTGTCTTGAGCTGGGAGGACTTACTATATAAACACCTGTTTATACGATATGGACCTATAATATTGTGAGTTCTTAAAAAAAGTCTAAAGAGAAAAATCAATGCCCTCCTATCTTAAAATCAATAATTGTAAAATGCAGCTGAATTGTTAATTGTACATCAACTGTCATACGTATTTATGCAAATGTGTACACAGCATATTGTTTGAATTCCTTCTAGCTGCGGCTCTCCAGTGATAAGGAATGGAGCCTTCCCTGTTTTGTGTAATTATGGAGAATGCAGAGCGGCAGCTTCAAAGCCCAAGTGTAGTCCTACTGTAGCCTTCAAATGCTAGAGCCACCTTTTATTATTCTTTCAGACATTACTATATTATGTTTGTCTGGAACCTGGGTCCATTTAAACAGCCCTCAAAATTTTGTATTTTATAGATCTGTAATAAAACTCAGAGAACTTTATTTTTCCTCTGTCCACTACTACAAATATGGCTGCAGAGAGGAAAGATACAGAAAATAATGCATTTTATTGGACGATTGTAAAAGGGGGGAGTGTTTCTCACCATGAGTTAGAAACAAGCTCAAGCCCAGTCTTCATTCTGTGGTCACAGCAATTATTCACTACAAATTCCATATAGTCTATAAAGTTCTTCATCTTCTCCTTTCCAGTTCTCTCGATACCCTACAAGGTAGGTTGGATTGTTATCCCCATGTACCCACTAGTCTATGAACATCTCACAGGTGGGACTGTTTCCTACCAGCTTTTCTACCTCTAACATCCAGCTCTATATGTATTTAGTTCATATGGCTTTCTTGTGAGAAAACAAATGCAAAGATGTTTCGTGGCCCACCCACGGAACAATGGTTTCTAATATCTGCTAGAGAGAGTCTTAAACTTTGATTTTCTAATGCTCTCTCCTACTATGATTATAGTAGAAATTACTAGTTCTACAATCAGAGGAAAAGTGAGGGATAGAAGTTGAGTAGGGAATATTGTATGTAATATAATGCATCATATGACCAACCAATCCCAGTAAATTTCCAAATTGAAGTTATGCTGAACGGAATTTTTTTTTTCCCTTTGTCTCCCAGGAGACTTGTCAAAAGTCAGTAGAATAGTTGTCTGGGCTCCAGGCTTCTCCTGTGTGGAGAGGCTGTTGGCCTCCCCGTAGGTGCTCTCGTGGCCTGTGAACATCTAAGCTGAGAAAGCACGTTTCTGACGTGGGGCCCTCCGTGTGACAGCAGGCTGTGCTGCCAAAATTCCCCGTGTGATTGGCTTTGCCCTTATTTTCTGCCTCTTCCAAATGGCCCAGGAGGCTGCAAATGAAAGGGCCTCAGCTGCAGTTTGAAATTGGCATCTGCATGTCTTTCATAAGCCTGTGGGTCTTCACCAAGTTCTTTTCCCTTATTGATTTTCAAGTTTGTTTGACTTGCAGGGCAAGAGAGGAGAAAGGGATGGAGGAAAAAAAATAGAGAGGCAGAAACAAGATGTAATTATACACCCCCCCCAAAAGAGAGATTCTTTAGGAAGACATTCAACTTTGTACTCCATACATTCAGGAAAAAAAAAATATGATTTGATGATAGCCTTGCAATCCCTTCCTCATTAAAAAGAAAAAAGAAATACGTTCTCAGGTGGAGACACAAATAGAGCTCTGAGGAGTATTTTTGCAAGCATATAGAGTTCAAGGCCCAGCTTCATCTGAGGCCTGTGGAGTCTGACCAGTCCCACCTCATCAGTGTCACACGCTCACCATCCTTCCCGTGTCTGTGTTCCCAGGACCTCGATGCAGTCTCAGTCTACGTACGGCAACAGCTCCCCACCTCTGAACAAAATGAACAGCATGAACAAGCTGCCGTCCGTGAGCCAGCTGATCAACCCGCAGCAGCGCAACGCGCTCACTCCCACCACCATCCCCGACGGCATGGGAGCCAACAGTAAGAGCGCCTCCCTTTTGCTGCTCTTTGGGGGTCCTGGGGGCTGGCGCTGGGGAAGACCCTGCTCCGGGATGGGGGACAGGCTTGCTCCTGGGCCCAGTAGGGGCACAGTGGGACAGCAGATCACAGCCAAGGGGCATGAGTTTCTCACGAGGAACATTCTGTTACTTTTGAAGAGTGCAATTCGTGACAAAGGACAGCGGTAGAGGTAGAGGAGGGAAGAGGATCCATGTGACAGCCACGGTCCACTTTCAACCTGGACGGGGGCCCACCGGCTCCCTCCTTTGAGAAAGCAAAAAGGGGGTACACCCAGCAGGTGGGAGGATGCATGGTGTGGTAGGCCTCAGAGTCCAGAGCCATAGACGGCAGTCTGGACTCCGTGGCGGTATGAACTGTGCGACGGTGGGCAGTGGGCAGGTCCCCTCTGTGCTCTCCTGCTCCGTTTCCCTTCACAAGATTACCGCGCTGCACGTTGAACATCTTACGGTTCTGTGTCCCTGTGATCTTGGCCTTCTCAGCTTGTCTGCTCCGCCCGCACACAGTCAGTTAGGAGCTGGCCTAGAGAAGGGCGTCCCCCTTTCACTTATTCACGCGCAGATTCCTCGCATCAACTAAGCATAAGAGGCTACTGTGAGAATCGGGCCTCCAGATGGGTGACGATTGCTGTATAGCTTTGCTGTAAATAGAATTAGCTTATCCGCTGGAACAAAATCTAGCAGAGTGGCTGCCCAAACTAGAGAAAGACAGAAGGAGGTAAAAGTGCAGGAGGATGTCGAAAACCCTCAGGGATGCAGAACCCAAGCACTGCCCTCAGAAAACAAGGCCTCGGTCTTGTCCTTTGAAATCCTTGATTATTCTGATCAAGCCTTTTAAGGTGCATTTCAGTATTGTCTCGAAGAGACTAAGGGGTCTTGTTTTTGTTTTAAGAAGTTAGGGAAGCAGGATTGTGACTCTATGGTCTGATGGCAAACATTCAGATTCACATGAGATAGAGTGTATGCGGTACAGTTGCCTGGTCTGGCAACAAAGACTTGAGAGCCAGACCGCTCTCAGACTAGTGATCAATGCATCCTAAGGCTCAAATCCTCACCCCTTGACAGGTCTGCTGCTTTGATAGTAAAAGGAAAAAGCACCATGTGTGTTTTTACTTTATTTTCTTCCTTGTGACATCTTAGAGTCCTTTTGTTCCTTCACATTTGTGTAACTTACAGTTTGCCTGCTTCTCCTCATTGACATTTCACAATTTTTCTTTGATAGCCGTCAGCAAAGTCAGAGGGAAAACTGATGAGATGTGATAATCCCATGCTCCCAACAGGCTGGCCTGTTAGTGGCAGAGGCCTTTCCTCTTTGACATATGAGTATTTGCTAAAATAAAAGCAAATTGCATTAACCTTTTTGTAGATATGTACCTTTGCTCTTTTGTTGACCCAAAGACAAAATTTGTTTTGTAAATATTATCAGTAGTAAGCTTTTCTTCTCAATAGGTAAATGTTTCCAGTTCGTAGTTTAGTAAAAAACCAATCCGTGTTGCTGTGTCCCTGACTACAATTCAGAAATGGACCATAAGAAAGAGCTGGAATCTTTCATTTCATCCCTCCTTATTAGACCTATGGTTCCTGAATATTGCAAAAAATCCTCCTGTCCCCAGACAAATATTCTAGATGTCACTCTCTCATTCACAGATCTCCGCGTGCGTTCACTGCACCTCAGTTTACCGAGCATATGATCTGTGCCAGGCACTGTGCTAGAGTTTGTGGGGATCGGAGATGTGTACAAGGTTTAATCTCCGTGCTTGAGGAATTAGCCCAATGAGAGAGACAGAGATATAGCCCATGAAGGCAAATGCAAAGAGGAGTATGTTAACATCAGGAGTAATGAGCAGTTAGAGCAATAGAAGCAGGGAGAGAAGCAGGGGGAGATTGTCCCAAGAGAACATGCAAAGGTTGCAAAGTGTGGAATTAGTCTGGAGTTTGGTGACTGTTCTGTTGGATGAGAGGCAGGGTGCGTGATGGGGTGCAATGAGAGAGAAGGCTGAACAGGAAGGCTGGTGAATGAGGTCCTTGGTTACGTTAAACCAGGCAAGATGGACCACTGGGAAGCTGGTGTTGATGACGGCAGTAACCCTCTCTGTTCCTCCTGCTTCTGTTCAGTTCCTATGATGGGCACCCACATGCCAATGGCTGGAGACATGAATGGACTCAGCCCCACCCAGGCCCTCCCTCCCCCACTCTCCATGCCATCCACCTCCCACTGCACTCCCCCACCTCCGTACCCCACAGATTGCAGCCTTGTCAGGTGAGTCCACGACATGTGCCCTTGGGGGCCTGGCCTAAGCAACTCTGGGTGGCGGAGGGTGGACACTGTCAGAGCTCATGATGCAGTTGGGAGAAAAGAAAACAGCCCTTCCCATGGTGGAAGTTCAGCACTGCTACCTCTGATCTGTGGAGCGGTCAGCGGTGTTTGAGGAAAACACTGTGATCCTCATGGGAAAAAAAGTGAAAATGCGAGTTGATAGGCATATCATTTTTCATGCCTGTTTCCCCCATCTTCACTTACCCCATCCTCCTCCCTCAGAGTGTTACATGGTCAGTATGGCCTTCAAATTGGTGCTCAGGGCTGGGGTTCCCAGAAGGGCAGTAAACTTGCTATCTTGCTCCCTTTCCCGTTCTCCAGGACTCATAGCTCTCAGCCACCGTGGCCTCGTTACATGGGAAGGGGATGTGCATAAACAAGTTCTAGTGTTTGCAAAAACCACGGGGACTTTCAAGAACCTGATGGCCGCTGCTGCTTTGCCATAGGCCAAGTAGGCATGCTCCAGGCAAGGGGGTTCACACAGCCAGAAGAAAGAAATACAGGAAGCCTGGGAGATCTTTTCCCACAGAGGCAAGAGCGGGTGCCACATCTCATGCCTAGTGTGCATCGCCTGCCCCTGCTTCGTGTGTCCTTTCATTGGGCTGCTGGAACAATGTGTGTTGAACCCCATGTGACTGATGCAGCCGTACACGGCAGCATCAGTCAGAGAGATGGCAAAGTGCATGGCTTGTGCCGCCCAGCCTGGGGCTCTGTGATGGTGCCAGCACCTAAAAGGAGGGGTCTGAATTCTGCGTAGGACCTAAATCAGAAAGCACTAACGACTTCATACCATAGTGGCCTCCAGTGTTTCTTAGCCATGTGGACCATTCTCAGGAACACCCAATGCAAAGCAATTCAAGTACAGGTGCTCTTTTGGAAGTGAAGAGGCAGGAGGCAAGAGCGCTGGGAACCTGACCACTGGACTCCTTCCTTTCACCCCCTGCAATGGCTCCTAAGGCACTTACCCGTATAAACCCCTAAAATTCCACCAATCACTATTTATTTGGAAATCGCTGCTCTGCACGAATCCTTGTAGTTGATTTTGATTTCTATAGACCTCAAGTTCAAGCCACTAACCATTCCCAAACCTCCAATCCAAGGCCCACATAAGATTTATCTCATCTGCCCCTAGTCTCTCCTGTAGGGCATCCCAGGGCAAAATGTTGGGTTTTTCCTTTATCTCGCCAATGCAGTTGGGGTGAACTTTCTTTTTCTGTTTCCTCCTTCCTCTTCCCTCCTCCCTCTGCAGTTTCTTAGCGAGGTTGGGCTGTTCATCATGTCTGGACTATTTCACGACCCAGGGGCTGACCACCATCTATCAGATTGAGCATTACTCCATGGATGTAAGTAATTGTTAGACTTTTCTCTTGAGTTTTATTTCTTCCTTTTCTCCCTCTGGTGACATCCACCCAGTAGTTCAGTTCCCCCTGGTTTTAACATTTGTTTTTAATCATACCCTCAATCTTCAATTTTGGTGGAAACCATGACCAGATTAGAAATATTCCCAGGCCTCAACCTACATACATGAGGAGCATAGCAACCAGTCCCTCTGCTCGGCAGGTCAGCCAACACTTGTCTGTTGCATGAATGCTCTATTCAGAGTGGGAAAGAGGAAATCCAGTTCCCGCCTCCATGTAATTTATAACCTCTGAAGAACTCAGAGAACTTTTTAGATGGTTCTCATTAATCTGTGTGAGACTAGAAGGAAGCAAGTGATAGTATTCTCACTTTAAAACATGGAGAGACCACAGCAGAATTATTCACGTGATGAGTGAGGACAGAACCAGGAATAGAGCCCTGAAGTGGAAGCTTCTGGTCTTTAACCCTATTAACTGGCTTCTTCTACCTTTCTTTAAAGTCATACCTTAAGGAGGATTCAGCTATTCCTCTCCGAACCATGTGTTCATTTATTTTCAATTCTATCAGAAGAGGTCCAAGCCATCCCTGACCATTGAGCAAGGTCGTTGGTCATGGTTCAAGTCCCATCCATGCTTTTTAGTAATAATGAGACCTTGGGGTTATCCTTTTGCCTGACTGAGCCTCAGTTTATCAAATTGAGCTCAGCATCACTCCCTCTGGCTTTGATGTTCTTGGTCTTTTGGAGCAAGCTGGAGAGAAGGGGACTTTTTCTTCCTTCCTTCACCGCTTCTTGAACTGCTCACATGGGAACTTGTATTGTTCTGGTTTATAGCAATCTGATTTTCCTTCCAGGCTGCTCTTCATGCTGCTCTCTTTGGGGTTTACTATCCTCTTTTCCAGCTTCCAGAGGGCCCTTTGGACTGGTGGAAGAAGATACTGTCTGCCTCTGCTGCTGCTTCTCTAGTTGGGATCTCTTCTTTCCCCTCCTTGAGCACCGATGCTAGAGATGCCCCTGCAGCATGAGAATGCCCCAGCCCCATGATGACAAGTATATGCCATACTGCCCCTATGCCCTCCTCCCCCCGCCCCAAAATCACCCTGGCTGCTGCTCCTCATGGAATAAATTATAACTGAAAACTATAGAGAAAACCTTAAGAGTAAGTTTCAGGAGGTTTCAGTTTAGGTTTCAGTTTCAGGTTTCACAATAATTTCCATCCATTGAATAGAACAGAGTTGCCCTGTGCTTGACAGTCCTACGTGATAGAACAGGGAATTTATCCGTTCCCTATATTTTTAGAATTATGTCTTCCATTTGCTGACTGTCCCCACTGGGGGTATGCCAGGATGCTCCCTTGGCTATTAGGATCTGGAGATGTCCTCCATAAGTCCCCCTCTGCTGATGTTGGCTAGGTCTTGTGCCAGGGTCTGGGCCACAGCTTCCTTACCTGTCAGTTGTAAGTTCAGATCTATCCAGAGAATCATGCAGCTAGATGAAGGGCAGTTTACAGAGTTCTGGACTTATTGAGAGTTTCAGAAGCATAGTTATGCTTCCTTATCTATGTGGGGGTTGCCTTCTTTATAGTGTATTCTTCTGCTAGCTTGGAAATCGGAGGACCCAAACTACGGACATCCAAACTGGGAAATAACTGGGAGGCTGTCTTATTTCTGCATCCTTGCCTCAGCTTCTTCCCTCTCATTACTGGAAATAGAAACCTCTTTTCCAGCTTGTCTCTCAACACCTGTCTGAGTTATTTGGCATCCCTTCCTGGAAAAAAAGAATGTGGTTAAATTGGGGAGTTTTCATGAGTATCCCCTCTAGGATGCTGGGATGGGTTAATAACAATTTAATATAGTAATGCAAGTGGTTAAGCTTTTGATCATGTGGTTTATAATATGCAAAATACTTTCACATCCGTATTTACATCCAAGCCCATAATATGTGTTGACCACAGAAGAAATTCCCTTTTACCAAGGAAGAAACTGAAGCCAGAAGGGAAAAATGGCAGGAAGAAAGTCTGAGCCAGTCAGTGACAGAATTAGGACCTCTGTCAAGGTTTTCTTCCTGCAAGCACAGTGTTCTTTCTGCCCACCATGCTGCTTCATAAAAGATGTGAGCCATTGCCCAAGCAAGTTCATGAAGAGAGAAGGCAGATAAATGTGACCAATGTCACCAAGTTAGTTAAGATCAAGCATATTTGTAATGCCTTCTACACCCATTCCTAGAATGTGGACACATACCTGCATTTGGATGCCCTGATTTATCCAAACACCAAGCGGCCTTCTGGCCGTTAGGGCAGTGGTAGGCTCAGAGGCTGTCCTGAATCCCCAAATCATTTACTTTAATCGTGTAACTTTAGACTTGGTCAACCACTCTGACCTTCAGCTTTTCGATCTATAAAACAGGTGCAAGGGTATCTGCCACTAATCTGAGCGTTAAATGAGATCATGAATGTCAAATAATTAGTTAGGTGCCTGGCATTTAGAAAGTGTTCATTACCTGTTGGAGATCTATTTTTTTAAAGATTTTATTTATTCATGAGCGACATGGGGGGTGGGGGGGAGAGAGGCAGAGACACAGGCAGAGGGAGAAGCAGGCTGCATGCAGGGACCCCAAAGTGGGACTCGATCCCGGGTCTCCAGGATCATGCCCCGGGCTGAAGGCGGCGCTAAACCGCTGAGCCACCCGAGCTGCTCCCTGTTAGGCATCTTTCATCCTCATCTACTCATTTGAGTGGTGGCAATGATCCGTTAACATCCCTTCTAGTGATTAGAGCCAGGTAGATTTTTTTTAAACATTTTATTTATTTATTTATTTATTTATTTATTTATTTATTTATTTATTTATTTATTTATTTATTTATTCATGAGAGAGAGAGAGAGAGGCAGAGACACAGGCAGAGGGAGAAGCAGGCTCCATGCAGGGAGCCGGACATGGAACTCGATCCCAGGTCTCCAGGATCATGCCCTAAGCTGAAGGCGCCACTAAGTCACCAGGGTTGCCCCGGAGCCAGGTAGATTTAAGAGTCAGAAGGTACTCTTATTTTATGTTTTCGTTTTAGGATTTTTGCCCTCTGATCTAACTACTAACCCTGATTTACCAGCAAAGAACCTGAGACCAGGGGAGAATAAGTGGAGTGTTATCCACAGACAGAGATGGCACCTGAAGGCTGTACCTTTTGCTTAGTTATATGTAATGCCAAAGGCTATTGAGAACCAGTTACGTTTTCCAAAGTAGAATCAATAAATCCAGGTCAATTGGATCTGACACTGGGAATGACAAAATGATGTGGACTCAATGTCCGCTTGTCCCTTTGTCCTAATCCTCCCCGATTCCCTTCCCTATCGCACAGGATTTGGCAAGCCTAAAAATCCCTGAGCAATTTCGCCACGCCATCTGGAAGGGCATCCTGGACCACAGGCAGCTCCACGACTTCTCCTCCCCTCCCCACCTCCTGCGGACCCCAAGTGGCGCCTCTACAGTCAGCGTGGGCTCCAGCGAGACCCGGGGCGAGCGCGTTATAGACGCCGTGCGCTTCACCCTGCGCCAGACCATCTCCTTCCCACCCCGTGATGAGTGGAACGACTTCAACTTTGACATGGATGCTCGTCGCAACAAGCAACAGCGCATCAAGGAAGAGGGGGAGTGAGCACCAGGGTGTGAACTCTTCCCATCCTCTCCCCATCTGTCTGCCTCCCTACAGGGCGCTAGTACTTGACCTTCGAAGCATTTTCCCTAGCTCCTCTTCTTCCTCTTCTCAGTCTGCCTCCTTAAGGGAGGAAGAAGTAAGAGGGTCTCTTTGATCTAATGTCCAGCCTGGCATCTGATTCTGGTTCTGGCTTTAAGCCTTCAAATCTATTGCTTGCAGGACTGAAGTTGTCATGTGTAGGTGGAAGTGAGCAAAAGAGCAGTGGGTGTCTCCTTAAGCTGCAAAGATTCCTCATTGACTTTTATAAAGCATTTTCACCCTTATAGTCTAAGACTATATATATAAATATATAAATATACAGTATATATTTTTGGGTGGGGGCATTGAGTATTGTTTAAATGTAATTTAAAGGAAAGGAAATGGAGTTGCACTTATCAACTTATTTTTTTTTAATTTACTTGTTTGGATGGCTTATCTATACCCTTTCTTTCATGGGGTATCATGTATGTAATAGGTATCTACAGCTTGATGGCACACATGACTCATAAAAATGTCCCTTCCGTTCGTTTGATGCTACACAATAGCCACATCAGACTTTTGGGTTGATCAAGTAGTTTTTACATTGCGTATATTATGGGTGAGACTGTATACATATGTATATGGTTCTCTATGTTGGCGTTTTTTTATTTTACTGATATTACTACTAGTGATGGCAGTTCACTTTGGGGTTATTAAAATACCTTTTGAAGCACAGCCAATATTATTTGATAAATGCTTCTTTTGAAAACCCTCCTATTATATAACATTCTGCAAGTAGAGGCTTGCTTATCTTTCTCTCTTCAAGGTTTAAAACAAGAGTAGTGAAATTCTAAAATTATTAGACCAGTTTTCCTGTGGCATCAGTTGGATCACTCTATCATTTTTCATTTTTGATCAATAAGAGTTTGACTTTGTTGGAAAATAACTGTGAGAATCGAGTTTCCCGTCCATCTCTCTTCTGGACTGTCATAGACATAAAAATGTCCCCACAGATCAGGGAATAAGCCTTCCAATGGAGGTGATGCTTGAACCACATAAATGGAGAGTTATCTTCAGACTTTGGGAAAATGTGTGACAATATTCCTATAGATCTTTCAGAAAGATGCTTTTTTCCCCCAAAAACTCTAAAACAAATATTTTGTACATATACCAATGAAATCTAAAATCCTTCTGTGCATTCTGGTAAAGGGCTATGATTGCACATAAGCTTCCACTTTTGTTTTAAAGTGCAAAAGGGCTAACATTGCTCAAAAGGATAATGTATGAGTTTCATCTGAAAAGTGTATATATATTTTGTGTGTGAAATTGCATACTTTGTGTTTCAGTTTTTATTTTCTTCTTGGGTTAGTGGGTTTTCCAGAACCACAGCTGAAACTTTTTTTTATTATTATTATTGTTTTTATATTTTCAGGGAAACACCATTTGGTAAGACTATGATGTCAAATAAAAAAAAGGCTATAAACTGTAAGATAGGGGGAAGGAAAGTTGTTTTTTATTATTATTTTTATTTTGTATGTTAAAGAGAGTAAGTCCTTGATTTCAAAGTTTTATTGTGCTTAAATGGTAAGGGGCACTGTTAATTTGTAGAAAAAAAAATATGCAACTTTGAAAACCTACTAAGAGGGGGAATGAAAACTGTGCCTTGGCAATACGTGGGGGGTCAGATGGCTTCCCCTACTGTCTTGAGGGTTTGAACAAACCTAGGACTTCTTCTGAGATATTTCAGCACTGTTCAAGTAGCACTAGGGACTCAGAAGTTCCTGTACTGTATCTTATGTGTTTGGCACTAGCCAAAGCTAAGCACAACTACTGGCCTCATGTCCTGGTGGCAACTTCTGCTCTTTGAGTATAGGAGTAGCTAGGAAAAGAAGAGTAGACAAGTGGAGAGTGAGCTTAGTAGAATTCTACAGGCAGAGGGCCTCAGCTCAGTGCACTCTGCTGACAAGTGGATGGGTTTTTGGTTTGAGGTGATTGGAAACAGGGAGAATAGAACTTTCTTCATTAAATCCATTTGCCTTTTGTTTTCTTGATATTCTCCTAAAATACAATATGTGGGATGTTGAATGTCAAAGGTTGTGTTTTTTTTATTATTTTTATAATTGTACAAAAGTCAAATGTCAAATGTTTTATATGCTTTATTAATGTTTTGAAAATTTCTTTCTTATAGATGTGATACTTTTTTTTAAGCTTCTGTTGCTTGTCTTTTGGTATTTTGTGTAATGGCCTTTTGGTGAGCCAGAGGCAAATTATAAGCCATTTATGTTTGCCAGGACATGCAATAAAATTTAAAAATAAATAAAAATGCATTGAGAAAATGGTGTTGATGGTGCGTGTGTGTGGGGGGGTGGGTGGGTGTGGGTGTGTATCTGCATCTGTCAGTTCATCTGTCCGTTGGTTTTGTTTTTATCATTGAGAAAGAGGAAAAGGCAGTGAAAGAAACATTACAGAGGTTCAAATGTTGATGTTTCTCACCTCAGACCAAATAATCATTATTTTCTTATTTTGAAAATGCCAGTCTATGAGGCAGGAAAGACTAGGAAGCAAGCTATCCTCATTTGATACACGAGATACTCCCAGATGTGATACTTTATTTCATTGAAATCAGAATCAGTTTGCTTTGGAACAGGGACTAGACTACAGATATTCCTATCATGTACTATTTAGTGACCTTCACATGGCAATGACCTCAGCAGTGTGGGGAGGGGTGCAGATTACCTGGTTGTATGTGAAAACAACACTACAGATGGTAGGCTCAGGGCACGTTCCCCTTTAAACTCAGTGTTAATATCACCTTTCAATCATATACATTCATTCAGCCAATAAAATATCTACTATCAAAGTGGTTTAATAATTTTTACTAAAGAAATGAGAAAGTTGTTCTTTTATGGGCTATAACATTAGATGGCAGGAAAACAGTTTAATACCTTAGATTTATTAAATAATATTACAGAATAGCATTGTATATAATATACAACACCTTAAAAATATCCATTTGTTTTCCTGTTTAGATGTAGAATCATATTATGAATGTATACATTCCTATAGGCAAAGTAGGTTCAGCTTAAATTAGGGGTACCAAAGGTTTCAAAATACTTATTCCTTAAAATCTAGGTGATAGATCCCTCAAAATGAAATGATGGATGCCATGTTTCTAGGGAAAGAAAAATAAAATGCAAAGAAAATGGTTAATTCTTGTTGTACTATTAAGGCACTTTGAACTCAATTGCAGTTTATTTTTTGAGCAGTTCTAGCCATTTATATAGATTGCCACTTCTTGGCTTTTACTGTCTCTTGGAGGTCTTCTGAAGCACAAAGAAAAAACTTTAAAAAAACATTTTAAGACTTTTTAGTGTAGTTTGTGTTTCATAGCAAAATTGAGAGGATAGTACAGAGAGATATCCCATGTGGCCTCTGACTCCACACATTCACAGCCACCCTCATTATCAGCATCCCCCACCAGAGCGGTACAATTGAGGAATCTGCATTGACACATCATTATCGCCCAAAGTCCATGGGTGACATTAGAGTTCATTCTTGGTGCTGAACACTCTATGGGTTTGGACAAATATACAGTGACATGTACCCACCCTTATAGTATCACACAGAGAGTGGTTTCACTGCCCTGAAATTGCCCTGTACTCCGCCTATGCATCCCTCCTACCCCAAAACTCTGGCGATCCTCTTACTATCTCCATGGTTTTGTCTCTTCCAGAGTGTTCTATAGGTAGAACCACACAGCATGGAGTCTTTTCAGATGAACTGCTTTCACTTCTTCACATGCATTTAAGCTTCCTCTATGCTTTTTCATGGCTTAATAGTTCATTTCTTTTTAGTGCTGATAAATATTCCATTGTGTGAATATACCAGTTTCTTTATCCTTTTACTTACTGAAAGACACCCTGGTTGCTTCCAAGTTTTGACAATTATAAATAAAGTCTCTATAAAGTATCTACATCATCCATTTTTTCCCAATTACCTCTGATATACACCTACCTTCAGCGTCTGTCTACTCGTGAAACATCTGGGGTAAATTTTGGTGCTTGGGAATGATTAAAGAATACGGTCTTGTGTCATTTTAGAAAAACAGGATGGTCAAGTTCTTGTCCCCAAAATTTATATGGTAAAATTCTACTTGCTGAATAATTACCTGTCACACTAATAGTGCAAAATAAATTCTCAACTCCTTTGGGTAATTCCAAAGAGTGAGATTGGTGGATTGCATGGTAAGAATTTGCTTAGCTTTGTAAGAAACTGCCAAACTGTCTTCTAAAGTGGTTGGACCTTTTTGACTTCCCATCAGCAATGAATGAGAGTTCCTGTTGCTTCATATCCTTGCCAGCCTTTGGGTGTGTTGGTGTTCTGGACTTTGACCATTCCAATAGATATGCAGTGGTATCTCATTGCTTTAATATGCATTTTCCTGAGGATGTATGTGGAGCATTTTTTCATATGCTTTTTTTCATAAGTATATCTCTTTCAGTGAGATGTCTGTTTTAAGTCTTTGGCCCTTTTCTTTTTCACATTTGTTCTCTTATTGTTTTAACAATCCAAAACTACTTTTAAAAAATGAAATTTATGTCTTGCAATTATCATAGGGCCTGTGAGACTCTTTATAAATCTAACATGCAATATGAAAATCTAGTGATTTTGCTTTTTCATATCTTGAGACATTTTCTCTACCATTGTAGGAATTACTCTATTATTACTTCTCAATTCCAATGAACCAAGAAACAAAAGACAAAAATTTTTAAAAAGGGAAGAATGATGGAATTGTTCAAAATTGTGCTAATACATGGTATCCACTTGCTACATGTGACTCTGATCACTTGAAATGTGGCTATATAAAATTGAGATGTGCTTTAAGTGCAAAATACACATTAGATTTCAGAGACTTAGAATAAAAATAAAGAATATAAAATAGCTCACTGATAATTTTTATGTTGATTCCATGTTAAAATGTAACCCCATGGATTAAGTAAAACATATTAGAATTCATTTTATGTTTCCTTTTATATCTTATGTGCCCACTAGGCAATGTAAAATTATACAAATGACTTTCACTACAGCCCTATTGGACAACTGGCCTAGATCAAGGATGGTAAGAAAACTAGAACAGTGGTGAGATGAATCTACTGTTGCGCAATTATCTAGTCGTCTTCTGTGTTGCCCAAGAGTAACACATCTTCTTTTAAGGAGGTATAGGAGTCTTTGTAATCTTCATCTTTGTCATCTTTGTAATCCACTTTTAGTTTTTCATAAGAATTCCTAATTTTTCATTTTCTCTTCATAATGGCAAAGAGATTAAAATTGAGAGAGGAAGATGTTTCAAAATTGTTAATTCAGAAGATAAATATAAAGAGACCGTGCCACTTTGGACCCTGTGAAGATGGTGAAACAGTCTGTGTTCAATCTCAGATTTGAGTTTTCATGTGATGATCTCCTAGATGAAATTTTTCAAGCAAAAGGCTCAATGCTTGAGAAATACAGTTCTAGGGATACAAAGGATATATGGTGCTCATATCGCTAACTATTCAGCTAGGAACGTTTTGCCATGTAAATTTTGGGGACAAGAACTTGACCATCCCATCTTTCTAAAACAACATGAGATAATATTCTTTAACAATTCCTGTGTGCCAAAATTTACCCCAGATGCTTCGCCAGTGGACAGATGCTTAAGGTAGGTGTGTATCAGAGGTAATTTGGAAAAAAAAATAGAAGATGTAGAAATAGAAACTCATCGAATTGGTCATTCCAGCTAGTGTTTATAAATGTAAAAAAAAAATTGCAATTCTAGAGCAAGCAACATGGTCATCTTCTCTGCCTCAAAGTCATGAGTCATCAAATGATCCAAAAGTTTTTCAGGTATTGCATTTTGATGACGCAAATACAAGATAACTAATCAGAAGCAATAATAATAAGCTAGGACATATCAGAGCCGTATTTGAAATCAGTACTTACAAAACAGCTATGTCCCAGGTTGCATGACAGTTCATGAGCAATTAATTGCACTCAGGATATTTCCCATTTTGTGTATATGTACTAGTAAAATCACGAAAACAACAAAATTTTAGGTTTACTATACTAAAACTCTTATGAAAATTTCTGATGATGTTTTTCACTGTCTTTATTTTTCTATATTTCATTCATAAAATTAGTAAAATGCTTTAAAAGAATTAGACGATAGTAAGCTATGACATTTTCTCCTGCGATGATATTAAATAGCTTCCCCGATCTTAATAGTTACAGAACACCGAAGACTTAATGTCAGCTAAACATTCTTTTTTTTTAAACATTCTTGATTTATCTAAAAATTGCATAGGACTTCTTTTCTGAATTTACAGAATTTTATTTTATTATTATTTTTTTAATTTATTTTTTATTGGTGTTCATTTTGCCAACATATAGAATAACACCTAGTTGTATAGTACTTCTGAGTCCCAGGGACCATCTCTCTGCTTTTGGGTTCACTGTCTGGATTATCTAAGAAGGTAACCCAGGGATCCTAGTTGGTATACAGGCAGTCTTTTTGATAGCAAAATAAAAGTGGGAATAAACAACTGTACATGAGTGATAGGTGCACAATGGAGCCTTCTTGACTCAGGAAAAACACCCTTAATCATGAATCAGGACACCCACAGACAGACATTCTCCTTTCAGTGATTCTTTCTCTTTCATATCCTATAGTTCTCTTACTAGATAAACTAGAACGAAGGATACCTCTAGCCTTGAGTCTAGATTTCCCATTCTCTTTGTACCTATAAAACCCTTAGAGTCCATTATTATTTTTTCTGAACTTGACTAACTTTGTCTTTTCTCCTGGTGCTTTGGGCTTATTTCAAAAATGATAATGTGGACATGTAGATTTTCATGGAAATACTAAAAGACAGAATGGAAAGAACGTATCACTGAAGTCTGGATTTTGGGGCCAGATGCTTAACTCCCTGTATCTCAGTTTCAGAATCTGTCATGTGAGAGATGCTGAACTCCTACCACATAAGTATTTCAGTTGTGTCCTCTAAAAGAGAGCTGAAGGATGTCATAAAAACAACTCTGCCAAAGGAGATACAAGGTTATAGCTTTAAGACAAATTACAACCTTAAAGTTCAAATATATATATATATTAGATAAGAATGGTTCATTTGTTTAAAGTATAGTTTTTAGAGTCAATATTGGGTGTGCTCTTGAAATTTATGAGATTTGTAATTCCACACACTAATTCTGAATCCATGTGCCAAGTGGGTGGCAAGTACTGACTGGTAGATTTCTCCTTGGCAATTCTGATCAGAATTCTAGGTCTAGGACCTTGGAGGTAGAG